CGGCACAAATATAGTATGTAGTACAGGACTTTCAGGTCTTCGAGAGAGCGCATCTGCCACGGAATTTTCACGGCCTGGTTTATATATAATTTCATATTCGTAGCCAAGCAGTTTTGCCACCCACTTTTGTTGTTCTGGCGTAGCCACACGTTGCTCCAAGAAATATTTGAGGCTACGTTGATCCGTATGGATGAAGAACCTTTTTCCCAACAAATAGGGTCGCCAAGTACGTATAGCTTCAACAATGGCTAGCATCTCCTTAGCATAGATGGACCAAGACCGTTTTGTCACTCCCAAGGCTCGACTCATATAAGTGATGGGTCGTCCTTGTTGTGTTAGTACTGCTCCTATCCCATCGTTGGAGGCATCGGTTTCAATGATAAATGGCTCATTGAAATTGGGCATGGTTAATGTAGGTGTGGATGTCATGGCTTTTTTGAGTGCAAGGAAAGCAGTTTCTGCTTCTTCTCCCCAACCGAATTGTCCCTTTTTTAAGAGATTTGTAAGAGGCCGAGCTAAGATCCCATAATTCCTTACGAACTTCCTGTAATATCCTGTTAAACCCAGAAAACCACGCAACTCTGAGATATTAGTAGGACGTGGCCATGCTAACATGGCTGAAATTTTAGAATTGTCTACTTTTACCCCTTGGTCGGTCACAATATGTCCCAAATACTCGAGCTCCTGCTGGCCAAAGGCACATTTTGAAGCCTTGATATAAAATTGCTGTCGTTTTAGGATTTCTAAGGCTTTTCCCACATGAATTAAGTGTGCTTCCCATGATGGACTATAAATAAGTATATCGTCGAAAAATACCAAAATATATTTTCGAAGATATGGACGAAAAATCGAATTCATAAGGGCTTGGAAGGTCGATGGAGCATTGCATAGGCCGAAGGGCATTACCAAGTACTCGTAATGGCCATTATGAGTTCGAAATGCCATTTTAAGGACATCTTGTGGGTGAACCCGCACTTGGTGGTATCCTGCTCTAAGATCAAGCTTTGTAAAGTAGCTGGCCCCATGTAATTCATCGAGCATGTCCTCTACCGTTGGAATTGGGAAGCGATCTTTGATGGTTATGGCATTTAGTGCGCGATAATCAGTGCAAAATCGCCAACTTCCGTCCTTCTTTTTAACCAAGAGTACTGGTGATGAGAAGGGACTTGTGCTTGTCCTTATAAGTCCTTGGTCGAGCATTTCTTGTACTTGCCTCTCAATTTCCGCCTTTTGGAAATAAGCATAACGATATGGCCGAACATTCACGGGCTCAGTTCCTTCCTTGAGTGGAATACAATGGTCTACCTCTCTTATTGGAGGTAATTTGGTGGGCTCCTCAAAAACTTCTCCATACTGGTTCAAGAGCTTCTGCATGTCCGGGTGCATTTTGTCTCCATTTTCATGAGCGTCTGATTGTAAACACATGGCAAACAAGGGGTATCCTCGATGCACTTCTCGTGTCATCTCTTGAAGGGAAACTGCTTGTATGGGTGACTGATCAATGCCTTGTAACCTCCTGGCTCCATTTCTCCATTGGAATTCCATTGTCAAAGTCTTCCAATTACACACGACAGAACCGAGCATCTCGAGCCATTGTATCCCAAGCACGACATCCAAGCCAGCAATAGGAATTGCATAAAATGTGAGCAAGAAGGGAATTCCTTGCAAATCCACGGGCACCTTCTCAAATCGGCCTTGGCATGTCAACTTTTCACCATTAGCTACACGGACCGTCATTGGAGCAGTTGGGATTACTGGCAATCGGAGCAGGTCAATAATACGATTGTTTATAAAGTTGTGGGTTGACCCACTGTCAATCAACACACTAACTTCTTGGGGTCCGATTTTTGCTGTTAACCTCATCGTTTTGGGAGCTGTCCAGCCTGCTAGTGCATGTAAAGTGACTTCTGGCTCAAGTTGAATATCCTGACCCATGTTAGCCCCCTGTTCATCCACCTCCTGCTCATTTGTAACCTCATGACCTTCGAGCAAAAGGAGTCTTGGTCCTCGACAGCGATGGCCCGCGGTGAAACGTTCGTTGCAATGGAAACATAGCCCTTGTGTGCGCCTTCTTTGCATTTCGTCCCAAGTCAAATGCCGTAGAGGGGTTGTTGGTGCTGTTGCTGGAGCTTGCCGAGCGGGGGAAGAAAGAGCTTGTGGGGTTCGAGCTGGTGGTGATGGTCTAGTGAACCTCCGTTGACGTGTGAGTTGATCATCCTTCATCCTGGCCAAGCTAATGGCGTCTTTAAGCGTCTGCGGTTTGAACATTCGGATACCATCAGCAATCTCGTCCTTCAATCCTCCCATGAATGTTCCCACAAGTGCTTTTTGAGTCCATCCACGAACTCGGTTGCCTAACCTCTCAAACTCACGTTGATAGTCCCTTAGAGAGCCGACTTGTCTGACCCGAGAAAGAGCCTCGTCAAAATCTTCACACTCTGATGGTCCAAAACGTGCCCATAGCTCATCCTCGAAGGTCTCCCATGATAATGCCTACCCTTCATTTTGGTATGTCTTCCGAAGCCACTGCCACCATTGGTTGGCCTCGCCTTCCAAGTGAAAAGATGCCAGCGATACCTTCTGGGCTTCCGTGATAGTTTGGAATTCAAAGAATTGGTTCACACGATTGAACCATTCTGTAGGGTCTTCTCCACTGAATCGGGGAAATTCCAATTTTGCCATTTTTGCGGAGTACACCAGTCGTCCACCGTTGACGTCTTCTATATTGTCGTCGCGGCGATTTCGAAAGTTCTCTCCTCGCTGACTGTTGCGAGAGGTATTGGGAGAGTCCTCCTTATATGAACGAAGCATCTCCTCTAACTGATGGAACTTATCTGTAATCCCTAGCTCCATACGATTCATGCCTTCTTGAAGACCACTAAGACCCGCCTCCAAGCTTTCAATCCGTTCTCTGTTGGTGGCCATTAACCCAGCTCTGATACCACTTGATAGAGGTCCCAATCAAAACGGTAATTTAAACAAAGAGTAATTCTCTTAGGGTGAGAACTGAACCACAATTTGAATGAAATGTTTTTATTCATCATGTTTTTATTTCAGCCAACGTGTTTAAATAGCCTGGAGAGTGCAACAGACTGCCTAATCTCAAGGTCCACGTTCACAGAATCAAAACTAACTTCACAGAATTAAAACTAATAGATATCAAATAACAATCTTATTCTAACTGAAAAACAAATATTACATTGCATTTCCTAATGGATCAGATTGCCTTGGATTGGGTCTTGGATTCTCACGTCGTGCATGTAGTTGTTTTGGCCTTAGACTCTTTTTTTTCCACGTAGTTGCATGAGTTGCATGAGACCCCACGTACATGCATGCATGCCAGCCTTTCCCACTTAACTTACATGCATGCCAACCTTCATCACTTTTAGGCTACAAAGTCTTGGAACCTAGGATTCTTCCTAGGGGCTCTGTTGAACCTTCTTGGTTTATCAAAGACCAAATTAAAATTTCAGAAAATTTAAACCATGAAATGCACAGCAGATTTAGAAGAACCCATGGAATCGGCCTTCACAGTACAATGCTTGGAAGATGTTCCTGAGCTAGGGCACAAATTTATTTATTTATTATTATTATTATTTTTTTTTTGGGAATTGGTGATGGAGGCATTTTCGGATTTTTTTGAATTGAGTTTGGAGTTTGGAAATGGGTAGTTACTGGCGGGTGGTAAGAGGCATTTTCTTTAATTGAGTTTTGAATTGGGTGGTGGAGGCATTTTCTTGTTTTGATGGGGGTGGAGGCGAGAGTCGGGGTGTAGTGGGTGGAGTCGGAGGAAGAAAGTGGGAGTGGGGGTGGTGGCGGCTGGTGGACGGCCGACGGAGGTCAGCATCACTGACCCTGCAGTTTGGGAGTGACGGCGTGGGGGGAAGATGATGATCCTGAATTTTGTTTATTCTTTTTTTTTTATGGTTTATTTATTTATTTTTTAACTTAATTTAATGGGGAGAAAATGTAAAATGGATTCCATCCATTAGGACCCTGATGTGTATTTCTAAAAGGTTTGGGACTTTGGTCTGCACAAAATGAAGGTTAGAGTAAAGTCGGTAAAAATGTGAAAGGTTTGGGACCGCTGCTGCAAGTTTTCCTTAATTTTTTATTTTTTTTCCTTTGTTTTCTTTTTGTTTTATTTGAATGGAGGTAAAATCGTCAAAAATTAATGAAAATGCCGTTCACCGTCAAGAAAGTGGAAGATAGGAACGTTTTGTGCCCAAAAATGGTAAAAATGTTTTCCATAATACATTTGAAAGGTAAGGACGTTTTGTGCCAATTACCCAATTTGATAATAATCTAAACAATTGATTTTAAACACATTCATTTCATCATTTCAGATTTTGTTATTTGTACATAAAAAATTGGTAATAAATGGTTATTGCAAATGATACGAATGGAAAAGATTAAATGAAAAAATTAATTATACTTTAAATTGGTAAATAATAAAGTGTCATACATTATATAATCCTTTGTGCAAACTTCGATTTCGGAGATGACACCCTTGGTGTCAGTCAAGGATTCGTACTCATCAAAAGCCCGTTACACCTCCAATCATTCCATTCCCATATTTCATCATTTCAGATTTTGTTATTTGTACATAAAAAATTGGTAATAAATGGTTATTGCAAATGATACGAATGGAAAAGATTAAATGAAAAAATTAATTATACTTTAAATTGGTAAATAATAAAGTGTCATACATTATATAATCCTTTGTGCAAACTTCGATTTCGGAGATGACACCCTTGGTGTCAGTCAAGGATTCGTACTCATCAAAAGCCCGTTACACCTCCAATCATTCCATTCCCAAGTCCCACGAATTAAATTCAGCCACGCCATCTATGAACCAATTTCTGGACCCATTTCTAGATATTCAGTTTGTACCCGCAAGCACCATAATATTACTCAACCCAACGGCCATTTCCACGTGCTTCTAGACAATTCGACGTTGAATATCACGCGAAAGCTCTCGAAAATGGTAGAAGAGATGCTTCATTACTCCCGTCTGATAATATCTCCTATATATATAAAACAAAATGCCTAGGCATTTGAATCTTGTCAGATAATAAATTGCTGATTACTTACCAGAGAGAGCTCTCCTTTAAAATTCATTCGTTACGGGTCGGTGATAGTTTTGCTCCGATAACTCAGTCATTTGGATTTGCGGACCGTTTGGAAGGACATTACCGTTTTCAATTTCTTCGAATTGTAAGTAATTTTTTCTACACGGTTGAATTTTATTGTGTTTTTCGTTTCATTCATGTTGAGTAGTTTGTTTCGTGTTCTTGCAATTGACATATGGCTCTATTTATTTTAACTTTCCTTTGAATTTATTATCAATGTTGTTGTTTTATTTGTCACCTTTTAATGTTATTTACACTTTGATCTGCGTAGTAGTTGATATTATTCGTTTTCCTAACTGGAGAGTCGATGAAAAGTTGCCTTGTACAATTCAATTGAATATAATTGATATTAATGATTATATAAACAAAATCATATTGATTTAAGTATTACTTTTAGTCTTGTTTGGGTTTATTTCTTCTTCAATTTCCCAATTCGTTTAAACAGGTGGCAGTGACATATTCTAAGATGCACATTTTATTCAAATTTTGGTTTCAACAAATACATGCAACTGTAAATTCAATAAAAGAAAATAATGCTCACTAGCCGCGAACTTTTGATTCGAGTATTGGGAAATATTTATTGGTCCTGGGATTTTTGGTTCTAGGCTTTTGGCCACTATACTGGCGTTCCAATGAAGATACAGAGTTGTAATTTGATTAGCGTGGAGAAGGTAGAGTTGCGAAATAACAGATTCGAATGTTAATAAATCTTTGGATAAAAATACATCTATATTTCTACTATTAGGGGAGATTTTAGCATTGCAAATATGATGTCCTTGCCTGCGTTGATTCTGATTATCCAGACATGGATTCTGAATTATGATATTCATAAATCAATTGATAGTGTTTTAAAATTGGACCTCATTTATGTATTTGGCAATAAATTGGTAAATCATGTACTTTGTTTTGTATTTAGCAGGTGATTTGTTGATTTCCATTCAACCTACGCACTTGGGTTGTTTGGTGTCGAAAGTTATCCACATACTACGAATCTAGTTCGCTTTTCTTGAATTGAGGATATATATGGATCCTGTCTTCAGATGCATGCAGCCATATCCCTACCAGAGGGGTCAAGTATATTACAGACCCTGTTACTACCCAAATGCTGAATCTGTCTCGACTCCAATGTATGCTGATCCGGCTCCATTTCCAATGAATTACGAATGTTGCCCTTGGGGTGGTAACTATGGCTATTCCTACCCGGTACACGGCCATGGCTGTTGTAACCCTAACCATTTCCTGGGAAACTATGGTTGGAGACCTCCTTATTCTCATGTTCCACCAGTTCACTGTCATGGAAATCAAGCAACGCATACAATTCCGTATATTCCTGTCCCCGATTATTCTATTGGGCATCCTCGGTATGAGTATGAAAAGAATATGCCAAGAGATCATCATTGTTGTGGATGTCCTAACCATCAGTGTAGCAAGAAAGAAGAGAAAAATGTAAGGATTGAAGAAGAGGATCCTGACAGGGAAAGGAAAAGCAATGAATCCTTGGTTCCTCTTCATTTAAAGAATTATCAACACCCAATTATTTGGTTTCCGTCTGAATATGGAAATAATGAGGAACACAGGAAGTCGATAGAGTCGGAATGCACAGATCGAAAGGAGGATTTCCATGACAATCCAAAACCTATTGAACAGAAACCGGCTGTCTGGAATGGATGGTTACCAAATGACGTGAACAACTTGGGATCATTAAAGCAAAGAGAAGATCTGGTAAGAAACCAGGATCAACAAGATGATAGTAAGGGCCACTTTCCATTCCCAATATTCTGGATGCCCTACAAGCCTAAGGAGATGGAAAAGAAAGAAGGTGAGGTGAACAATGTTCGTTCAGAACTAAGCATGGAACCCATCAAGCTTCCTGACAGTGGAGACAACTTAAAAGTGAATGGGGAACAGGCTAATCACAGTGCTTCTTCCAGGACGAAGGATATTGTTGTGAAGCAAGTTGAACAGTTGCATGAAAAGGAGAATTTAGGCAATGACAAGGCAAAAGAAAACAATGCTTCCGTGAAAGTCCCCCATGCATCTTCAAGGACGAAGGATATTCCTGTGAAGCAAGTTGAACAGCTGCATGAGAAGGAGAATTCAGGTAAGCACAAGGCTAAAGAAAACAATGCTTCATTGAAAGATTTTATTGACAATGGAGACGAGAAATGTGCTGAAAGAAGTGCTCAAAGGAAGTCTACTTCTCCTCCTAAAGCATCCCTGCCTCCTGTTTGTCTGAGAGTTGACCCGTTGCCAAGGAGAAAAAACACTAATGGAAGCTCAAGATCTCCTAGCCCTCCTGGTGACAAAGGGAAGTTGAATCAGTCGTCTAATAAAGTAAGCATTGTCCCAAGTTCGACAGATATTGTGAAGTCAAATGTGATTAGTGACAATGAGGCCAAGAACAAGACGGCCAACAAAAAGCCTACTGAGGTTCTGGAAGGGAAAACTGAGCTGGGAGATGTGGATGTGAATACAACTCATACTTCTGAAAAGGAGGATATTCAGGCAAACCTAACTGATGAAAGATCCAGAGGGGAAAAATGCTCTAGGGAATGCACCAGAGCTGATAAAGCAGATGTAAAAGGTCAATCGCATGATACTGGAACTCAGATACTGGAGGAAGAAGAATTATCCAGGGGTAAAGAAGTGATTGCTAATGAAGTTGAGGAACTTGGAAGAAAGAAACTGACAGATTTGGAAGCAGCTATTGTTATCCAGTCAGCATACCGTGGATTTGCAATCCGCAGATGGGAGCCGTTGGAGAAGTTGAAGCAAATAGCTAAAGTGCGTGAGCAGATAGCTATGATAAAGCTTCTTATGCAAGAGATGGAGTCATCTTCTGATAGCCAACGTGATAATAAGCAAATACACATGATTGGAGAAACGATAATGAATCTGCTGCTTAAACTGGACACAGTTCAGGTATGTTATGAACCAGTGGAAGGAACACTACATATTAATTTATATATGTCAAGTCATTCGTTTCTTTTATTATAGCTAGTTAGATTCTTCCTAAAATGCTAAAATCTCTTTTGGGATACTTTTTACAAGAATTTTTTATTAATTCTTTTTACTAAAGCCGTTCATTTACAGGACTATGTCTCGGTTTAACTTCGTCAGTTCACATATAATGCATGCATTCACTGAACGATGCCCTCACTTGAAGTTTATTCACTGTGATTTGTTATTGGAAGTAAATGATATATATCCTAATTGTCATTTTTGAATGTTATTCTACCAGTTCGATTAACAACTGTGTCATGCGCGTCTCCTTTTTCCCATTGAGACTTTGTATTTTCATTTCTTGTCATTACTTTTTGGTTTTTGTGGCTCTTAGATCATGCAAGTCTTGATACTCTTTCTGGCTTTGAATAGAGCGATTGAGAATGTGTTCCTTTCTTGTTATTTAGGGTTTGCACCCGAGCATCAGAGATATTAGAAAATATGTTGCCAGAGAGCTTGTGTGTCTTCAGGAGAAGCTAGACTCGTTAATTGATAAGAAGCCATCACTTGGTCATGATTCAACCAATGGAGTACATGAAGGTGCACTTAAGGAGACCAAAAATGATGCATCTATCCAAGGTGGGCATAGGGTGGATGAAACTGGTGTGGATGGTATTTTATCAGAAAATACCCATGACGATGAGACTCGGTTGGGTGGAGACCTAGAGAAAAAATCTACAGAAATATGAGAGAGCTATGGTGTTGAAAGCAGCGACGCAGGACCTAAACCAGACGTTAAACTAGGAGACGATCAGGACTCTGAAGCGCAGGAAAGTAAAGAAGAATCAATCTTGGTTCCACTGGCTGAATCTGGACACGGGATGACAGATTCTCCAACAATAGATGAGGATACGTCTCCTGTGGCTGGAGTGCTGGATGATGATATTGATACTAAAGGATGCGTGGAGCATAGACAGATCAAATCAGGTGAACACGAAGTTGCGGAAAATGAGTTAGATGTAGAGCGAGCAAATGAGATAGGAGGATCAAAGGCAGAGTCAGTCACTACAGAACTTAAGGACAACAATAGACACTATCGAAACAAAGAAGACATTGAATTGTTTGAGGAGCCTTTACCTAAATCAAATGATATTCAGGTACAAGCTGAAGAAAAAATGAGTTTAATCAATGAATTTGTAAAGATGTACGACAAAACAGATGATAAGATTGGATCAGAGGAGATGATGGTAGACAAGATCAGAGATGCTGGGGCTGAATCTGATGAAAACATTTCTCAACCGTCACAGAGTACTGGAGCCAAAATGAAAGAACCTAAAGCAGCAGATGATAAGACTGGATCAGAGGTGGTGGTGGAAGACAAGCTTGGAGATGCTGGGGCTGAATCTGATGAAAACATTTCTCAACCGTCACAGAGTACTGGAGCCAAAATGATAGAACCTAAAGCAGCAGATGATAAGACTGGATCAGAGGAGGTGGTGGAAGACAAGCTTGGAGATGCCATGGCTGAACCTGTTGAAAGCACTTCTCAACCATCATGTACCAGGGGACCTAATATTAGCAAACATAGAGGAGGGGATGATAAGATTGGATCGGAGGATTGGGTGGATGCCAAACTTGGAGATGCTGGAGCTGATTTATTGGAGGAGATCGTGGAAGAAAAGCTAGGATATTCTGTGACTGAATCAGATGAATGCGCTTCTCAACTGCCATATTACACTGGGTCCAATATCAAAGAACCTAAAGGAACGGGGGATAAGATTGGGTCAGAAGAGATAGAGGACGTTAAGCTTGGAGATGCCGTAGCTGAATCTTATGAGTGTACTTCTCGACTACAACTGGATGCTGTGGAAAAGATCAATGAACCTGCAGAGGATCCCGACGAGTTGAAACAGCAAATGGAAGAAGAACCTTGCAAAGGAGAGAGCGAAACCAACAATGCTGTACCTGAAGCCTTTGGAGGTAATGATCCGAAGAACTCTTCAACATGTGAAGAGGTTTTAGATATGCCTACAGAGAAGAAAGCATACCTGGTGCAAGAATACAACAGGGAGCAATTTCAGCTAGAGGAGCATAATGAAGTGCACGAATCAGAATCCTCGGGTGGGAATGAGGAAACTGCAGCTTCTGAATGTGACGTTCCAGATGGGATGGCATTCTTACCTGCAGGAGTTACTGAACCAGCATCTCCCACTGCAATCCAGGGTTCACATGATGTCAGTGACATGACAGAGAGCAATAGGAAATTGATGGAAGAGAACGAAACTTTGAGAGAGATGATGGAGAAATTGATCAAAGAAGGTCAAGAACAGTTGACTACCATTTCTGGTCTCTCTGAAAGAGTCAAGGACTTGGAAAAGAAACTGTTCAAGAGAAAAAAACTGAAGATGCGTCGCTCCAAAGTACCGTCATCGGGATTATTATGCAAGAAACCGTCCCACGACTATTTGAAAGACAGAACTATGGGAATTGCAATTTAAAAAGTTTGATGGTGGTCTGTAATTCAAACCTTTTTATTATGTGCTGAGATCGACATTATCATATTGTCGTTTGTCATGTAATATAATGTTTGTCGTGTAATGTACAAGAGCTTCTTCTTCTCTTGTCAATTTCATTGCTTTCCTCGTGTTTATTATTTGTGATTATTTCCTAATTCTTACGGAAGTAAATGATGAGGAAGTTTTAGAGGTGCATTCGCATGAAATATGGGACAGCAACTATATTTATCCATTAATTTTATATATCTTTTAACTTACTCTTTTTTCCCAAAAAGAAAAAAAAGGAAAAAAAAGGAGAAAATTTTAGATTCGCAATAAATTTGTCACTCTAAATTCGTTGAATAATAATTTGTCCTCATTCTTCTGAAGTTGAGGAAGGATTCTATTTTTAGCATTTTGATGCAACACCCAAAGTACAGTTCTAGGACTCAGACCCAACTTATAAAACATACTGACTTGCTAGGGGTACATTAAGGGATCCATAAGGGTGTCCATGGAGCCGCCGGGTGTCTATTATGGATACCCTTACGGATCCCTTAATGTACAACAAGAAATATCCAAAACATAAACATATATTTTGACAACAGGAGTGAATTGTTACATGAAGAATCGAAATTTGAAGCCGACTTTAGTGTCTAATTTGTCCAATTAAAAACCAGAATTAGAAGCCTACTCTAGTGTCTAAACTTGCCCATCACATTATCACTATCACAAAAGAATTATTTACTGCTTAATTATATTTCATCCCTTGTAATAATCGATTCAAGAAATTTAGTTTTCCATAGAGAAAATATACAACTTCAAACAAGTGATTTATCCCTCGTTTGATGGACATCATTTTGAGAAAATGAAATTTTGAATGATGGTGCTTTGGAGAATGTGTGGTTGAAATTTGAAAAGTAGAAAATTTTTTTAGGGTTTACGTATAAAATATCTTATTGTGTAAATGTGTATAAAAAATGAGTAGGAAAATTTACAAAGTAATGATGGCCAAACAGGGGGTTAATTTATTATTAAATATATGCATACCCGGTGGTCGTGCGTGGAGACGGAAGCATTTGTACTTGCAAACCGGGCACATCTGCATGATTTCTAGGGAAAATTGTTCAGGCATGAGTAGGAGTTCGTAATCATTGACAATTGTAAATAGAAAAACATGTTTTTCTAATATCCCTATTTGGTAACAAATTTTTACCCAAAAAAATTAATTTTTGATCGTTATTTCACTATTTCAACCGTCATTTTTATTTCTTTACTCACAGGTGGAAATTATTTTTCTCTCTAATGATCAAAAAATAAATTCTCATACGCACTACTGAACAGATCCTTAATGTTGATGTCATGTATTTTGATACCAATTTAACCCGTTGCGTTCTTCAAACACTGCGTTATTGCATTTTTGAAGGAATTTATTTTTCTTCTCTCAATCATTCTCCATTCCTCCACGCTACTTACCACGCCTCTTTAATCCATTCCCCACACAATTTTCTTCATTAGAATAAAGCTACTTATACAGACTAAATTTAAGGGTTGAAAACAAGTATTTAAAATTTCCAACGTGGCATCCTTTTGGAGGGAGGAAACGTAAGGTACTGTGCTTCAAAATGCAATTTTATCTCTTTTCTTTCAATTACACATGCTTCATTAAAATTATATTTCACGTAAATAAAAAATTTTTCCTTATTTTTGATCCACACATTCTCTATCGATTTACTATTCTACAATTCACTTTTTCATAAAAATGTGTGCCAACCACCCTGGAGCACATTTTTCCCCAGTTATTCACTGAAGTGGACCACCATTTTCCCACCTCTTTCATTTTCACGATCCTTCACTCTCAGAAACCTACGTAAAATTATACAAAAAAATTCAGACTATTATTCACACTTTCACGAACGGCAGAAAAATTATGATTTTGGTAATTCTTCTTCTTCATTTTCGTTTATCTGTATATTGGTAATTCTTCTTCTTCATTTCAGCTTATGTGTATTGTGGTAATTCCTGTATTTTGGTAATTCTTCTTCCTTTGTGTTCAAATTGTTGATTTTTCCATTTTAATCTTCTAAAAAATCATAGTCTTGGTTGATTTCAATTGTAGTTGGAAGTTCAAAATTTTCTTAGAAAGAGTTGTGTGGTTTTATTGGCATTACATTTTTTAAACTAATGATTGGATGCATAATTCTCTCATAAATGTGTGATTTTAATCTCTGTTTATCTATAATGTCGGACTTGCAAAACTTTATGACAGCATTCCACCCTTACTGGTAATGAATGTCAAATCTCCAATGCTTCCAATGTGAAGAATTTAGTCTGTAATAGAATTTCGAATAATTCTACAGCTGAGCCACTTTTGTTCATTTAAGTGTATGTGTATTTTGGTTATCTTCTTCTTCATTTACGTTACTGATAATTGATTGGATAAACTGTCAATGTAAAAGCTTAGCATGACAAAATCAAATTCTGGAAGTTTTTCCATTTCGCATCATACAATGCCTATAATTAATTACTGCACTGGTTTATCTAAAACTACAAGCGACTACATTCTCACTTGCTCAACTCTCGCTGCCTGCGCCATTTTCCCTTTCACAATGTTTACTCCGCCTGCGGGAAATGCAATGTACAGTTCGGAAGGTATGGGCATGTGTTAATAAATGTATTTAAATGTCACTTTTCACTAAGTAAACTTTAACTATTTCATACGGTTTTCTGTTTGTAGGTCAGGCGTTGTCGTTCTACTATGAAAACTTATTTGATGAAGGTGAGAGGGGCGTGTGATGTTAGGATTGTGGTTGTTACAATCATTTCATCTACTATTAGAATTTATCAAGCTATAGTATATGTTACACTTAATAAGTTTGTTTGTAATCTTTATTTGTGCATGTTTGTTTAAGTCTCCTATGTGATGGTTTGTAATCTTTATTTCATCCCTCGATTGTTTGGTTTTTAATCTAAATGTATTAATTGTTTCTTGATGATTTATTAAGGGCAATCCACGTTAGTGTTGATGCTGTCACGTCTTTGGTACGGCGGGTTTCATGCCAAGGGCTTCAATTTATTCAATTTAAAGAAATCGTAACATTATAAGCACTTCTAAGCATCAAATAAGAAAGATGGATGTTAATATTGTCTTGCTAAATCGAAATAAGGAAACAATCTTACATAACATCACAAAACAAAAGATTTAGATGCCTAAATCCCCTTTAGGGAAGATTTGAAAACTGTGAAACTTTCCATGTGATAACCCGTTCGATTAATTTATTCTAATCACGCCAACCCCTCCTTTTGAATTCCCTTCTGTGCTACCGTTTGCCTTGCAGATTGTCACGATCATCGAAATTTGTAGTTCATCTTCGTCATTGAGGGAACTCGAAATTGAAATATGCATTTCATATCTTCAACTCTTTCGTTCGTCGCCGTGTTAACTAAGGAAGTGCTAGGATTGACCGCTTGATTCTTCTTTCACCACCCAGTCCTAAAATCCACAATTGTCACTGTAAAAAGGAAATAATTGCCCTTTGATGACCGTCTCTTTCTCCACCGCGAAACACTTTTTGAATCCATGCTTGCATAATGGGCATCGGCATTTTCGTGGGCATTCAGCAAAGGAATGGCCTTTAGCTTGACAACTATGCCAGATTCCATAATTTCTTCCGCCTATTCTACGAGGAGAATAAACCACGGATCATGATCGACTCAAATAAATAAGCATATATATACAAGGCATAGATGATCCAATAAACCAATTATATCACATTTCAAGAAATCAAGAAACATATAAGCTCAATGACTTCAAATGGCAGAAGAGTATTTCTATATCCACTGAACAATGTTCGTTACTTATCGTCATCGTTGAATTAATGAGTCCCTTACCGACTTATAATAATCCAAGGGGGCCCCTTTCTCTTTTAAGTTCAAATTCGCAATCTATCATTTTCTGATCAACAGAAAAGCTTATCTTAATATTGGCTAATTAACACAAAAGCTTATCTCATTTTATGATCAACACAAAGGCTAATTAATGGAATATTACGAGACAAAAGGATCCATTCCTCTTTTCAACACTACAAGATTGAACTTTAAAATCACTTTGTAGATCTACTCATACTATCAACGTCAACCTTCAAGCAAACATGGGGATATTAGACCCCAACCCTTTTAACACGCCCACATAACCTACAGTTCATAAATAACGTGTCACTTTGATTCTCCATTCCTTCAAAAATTATTCAACATTTATCCAAAGCCCAGGTCCGAATAGAGATAAAAGCAGTAAAATGGGGGCTATGTTCATATGTACACATGCAACCCAAACATGTTAAAATTGACAGGAGATGGTGAAACCAATGCTCGAAGTGAGTGTCGCCGAAGAATGAACCATTCAGTGGCGAAACAGTGCTGGAATTGCTGCCGGAGCGACGACATCATCTTCGATTGAAGTGTGGCTGGAGAAGGTGAGGGTATGGATTAAAATCAAGCAATCACATTAAATTTTTGTGAAAATAGTTCATTGGATCACCTAGGATTATGAATATATCTCTATTCCCTATAAGAATTCAGGATTTCTATTATTTGATTGAAAATGCACAATCTTTTCTCAAATGATGAACAAATCACTGAAAATAATCATTCACTAGCCACATAAATAAAAATGTAAGATATACAATCGTAGATACACATGGGAATAAGAATTTTAGTATCAAAAAGCAAATAGAGAAATTAATTAAAGTTAGGTTAAACTACTACCATAAATCACAACACAAAAATTTAGCCTATTTTGTATAAATGATAAAAAAGGAGAATATTTTATACAATACATTGCAAATAGAAAAAATTAATGAAGAAAATACAAGATTAAAGATACAACCCCCTTTTGTTGGATTTTTGAAGATATTTAAGGCTTGAACTTGATTTTCCCAAAGTCTCCCTACTTCCTTGAATATATTTTCCTTGTGTCTTGTTTTACCCTAAAAAAATAGAGAAAAATGAAAGAGAAAATAAAAGAAAAAGAAAAGAAGAAAAAGAAAAGAAGAAGCTCAAAACATAAGTTATATATTTAGAGTGTGTTTGATCCACATTCTTTCAAACAATACATTTTTAAACAGTAATTTGATATCATTTCAACTACACACTCTTC